CACAGATGAAAGTACCGATTTCGGCGCTGATCGTGTAAACAGTAAGGTGTTGTCAGATTACATGCTTCATCTTATGATTAAACAACCTGCTATGATGTCTGCAGTGGCTGGGATTGGCCAAATAAGGTTCCGAGATACTTGTGCTGAGATGGACAAGTTCATCGATGAAAATATCTCTGATGGGAGCAAAACGAATGTTAGTATCTCTGATGGGACCAAACCGAATGAAAGTATCTCTGAGGGGAGCAAACCGTATGAAAATATCTCCCAAAAAAATATCTCTGGTGGGAGCAAAACGAAGACAAGGAAAGAAAGTGCGTGCGGAAGTCTCCTTTCTGTTCCTACACATGCTGAAGTGAAGCCAGTTGATGTGAAAGGAGACAGAAGCAAATCTGCGCTCTTTGATGTGTGTATTCTCGCCAAAATATTGCTGAGAATTGATAAGATAAACAGGTGGAAGATCATGAGTGTAGTGTGGGTGGAATTGCTGGGGTATGCTGCGATCCACTGCCGACCTTACAATCATGCTCAACAACTCAGTAAAGGAGGAGAACTTGTCACCTTGGTTTGGTTATCGATGGTACATCTTGGCTTGAGCGAACAGTTCCAAATAGTGGAGGGTCACGCTAGAGCAAAATTGATTGTTAAAAAATAATTAGGGTAAGTTGGCTGCCAAGTTGGCAAAGGATGAGGCTCCTTCGTGCAAATTCCATTAAGAATCTCGTGGTTGGAATCTCACTTTGTTTACACCTTTCTTCTGTTTCTTCTTGTAACGAGTGTGCTCATTTCCTATGGCTGCACCTTGTCGAAGGTGTCCTTCCCTATAAACTCTAGCTGCAATTTCTCCATGTATCCTGCGATTCTGTGTACTTCTTGGAACCGAATAAGAGAAGCTCACACAAATAACATCCGATTGCACTGGTTTAATATTTGCGTCGCAAGTTCAATGTTGAACCGGCAACAGAAAGTAACATTCTTAAATCAAAACAAGAGAGTATCTGTCGCTTCGTCTAAAATATATTCTTGTCCAAAAGGAAAGCATTTTCTGCATGAATGACGTACTCTTCCCGTAGATGATCATCCCAATGTAAACGCTGATATGTTTGTGGCTGTTAAATAGTGTTTTGATCGATTTTGTAAGGATTAATACCATGAAAAACCCTAAACTGGTACACCTATAACAAATTTATCTCAAATTAATTTTTAACTACCAAAAACCCAAAATTAGTACACCCATGACAAATTTACCCTCTATTAGTTTTCGTTAAATTTTACTATCAAATGACAAATTTATCCTCAATTAGTTTTCATTAAATTTTACTATTAAATCGCTGAGTTAAATGACACGTGACAATTGAAGAATGTACTAATTTGGGATTTTATCCTTCGTTTGTCACAGATGTATTAGTTTGTGATTTTTTTTATTAATCCAATCTAATAGATGGTAAATTTGTCATAAATGTACCCGTTTGAAATCTTTGATGGAAAAAAAAATTAGTTTGGGGTAAATTTGTCATAAATGTACTAATTTGAGGTTTTTTGTGGTAAAAAAATTAGTTTGTGATTTTTTGTAGTGTCAACTAGGGGTGAGCGGTTCCAGATTCCTTACAGGTTCCACCTAGAACCTGGAACCTACCCTCGGGTATATGTTCCTCATTTTTTAGAACCTAGAACCTACCCGTCAAAACGTGGAACCTGGAACCTACCCTGTTACAGGTTCCAGGGTCGGTTCCAGGTTCTAACAGGTTCTTTTTTTTTTTTTTTTCAGTTGTAGTTAATCAAAACGAAAGATCACCATTTCCACATAATCACATCCCAAACCCACCCACAAGAAAGTGCTCAACAAGAGAAGCATATATACTGTGCTTCTTATCTCATTCAAATCATTCCCTTGGAAACTTAGGGCGCGTTTGGTAACGCTTCTGTTTCTCTATTTTTCTGTTCTTCTGTTCCTTGGAACAAAAAAAGAACAGAAATCCGTTTGGTAACGTATTTTATTTTTCTATTTCCTGAAATAGAAAAGTGGCCAAGAAATAAATTTGGAGCAGAAATAAGAAGTAGAAAAAATCTACTTCTTTGTTTCTAGAAATAGAAATAGAAATCGAATCAAAGAAACAAAAACAAAAACAGAAAGGTAAAAAGGAAGAGAAACAGAGGACCGTCGTCTGCAGACCGTCTTCTTCCCTTTCAAGCCGCGGCTTCAGCTCCTCCTCTGTCCTCCGTCGTCTGCAGACCGTCTCAGAGCACCGGCCACCACCCCGTCACTCGTGGCGAAGCCCCGGCCAGTCGAAAGCCGCCAGTACGTCTTTCTGTTCTCGTCTTTGTTTGATAGTGTGGCGATTCTATAGGGACGCCGTCGAGCGAGGGCGGCCCTCGCACCCAGATCTGGGCGCGAGCAGCCCTCGACGGCGGCCCTCGCCCAGATCGGTGAGGGTGACCCTCGCTCGACGGCGGTGACGGCGGCCCTCGCGCCCAGATCCGCAAGGTACTCGTCGTGGTTCTACCTTCCGCTTCACTGATTGGATGCTCTTCTTTCCCTTCCGAGCCTCTCGCGTGTGCTTGTTTAGATGGTGCTTGGCCTTTTGAGCTAGGGTTCTTGTTGGTGTGGATTGGGTTGGAGTCGGATTCTGCTGCTCGTGGGGGTTTTTTTGTGTCGTGAAGTTGGTTTGGCGAACCCTTTTAGATGGAATAGTCTTGTTTTTCTGGTTGTGTGGGTTGTCTGGCTATTCGGTAATTGATCAATGTTGATGTTTCAGTTGATATGTGGAGTGTGTGTCCGGATTCGGATGGATGGATGGATGGATGTCATTGCAGCTTCTTCTGTGTGAGAATAGATAAAATTTTCAGAGTTTGGTTTCGCTTGAGTGTTTAGCGAAAACCCATTTCCTCAGGGCATGAAACGAAGCCCACGAGAAGCAATGCTTCAAAGGTTTGAAGCAATGTTCTAAATTTGCTAATACTCTGCACGTCTTCACTGTTGTTGGTGTATCATATTCTAGGATTGAGTAATCTAGAACTTGAAGCTTGTGTTACCTTGTCATTCACTTTCATTTGCCTGTAAATGGTTTTTGTGGGTTCATGAATTCACTCATTACCTTGTCATTCACTTTCATTCGCTTTTTCATTTTAAGACACATGCCTCCATTTACAATTCGAAAGCAAGCATGTATTGTAATTGCATGTTGTGCTATCCATAATTATATTCGTGATCAAGACAGGATGGACAAAAACTTTTCCCTATATGGAGATCCGGAGTACCCATTTGGACCTACACAAGTGGAGGATGCAGATGAGTGGCATGAGGAGGCAGTTGAGATGAACATGCTTAAGAAAAATATTGCAAATAAAATGGCAAGGGATCACAATATGCCTGAGATTCCATGACTTTGTGTTTATGACTTATGTAATGTTGTTTATAAATATTTGGGAACATTTTGTTAATTAGCGGGTATTATTATTGTTGTATTTTTCAAATCCAAAGCCTATGCAGCTAAACTGCACCAAGGAATCTGAGTGTGCCGAAGATCATCGGAATGTTCTTTTATTATCAGCACATCCGAAAACCAACAGATTAGTCGAGTGAGGAGAAAACTGAACACAGCAGACATTGGCTGGGTTCCAAATGGTGCCGACCGAGTTTTTCTGCAGAAAATCACATTAATGACCTCATTCTTCCTTTTTGAATTAGAAAATCCTCACATAAAATTCCACGACGATAAATTAACTAAAAGTCAAAGCAAGAATCTGCGTCTACGCTGCTTGAACTTATGGTTACAGCTTAAATAAATATTAACGGGGCTTTCAAAGGCCAAGAATGATCAACTGAGTTCATAAAGTTTACTGAATTTCCTTGCCAGTCTGATTCCCCTAATGTGACTCAGTCCAAGCTTCTTTTCTACGGAAGCTTTCAAGCATGCATAAATTGTAACTAGGGAGAGGATTATGTCCCTTTTTCAAGAAGATATTATACTACTGTATGGAAAAAAGAATGTTAAAATAGATACAAGAGATGGCATGCCTCATTGACTGCCCACAGCTTCAAAGAACAATCATCACTGCCGCTCGCAAACTTCGTAGGGTCTGCTCGAGAGAAGTCAACAGACCAAGCCCTCTTCTGGTGCTCCATATGTTGTGAAAATCCTTGAGCAGTGCCCACATCCCATATCTAGGTTCAAGCAATGTTAAAGTAATCATATGCAGAATTAGGATGGCGTATAACCAGGACCAAACATTTTGATTGCTGTTCACATCAGTTCTTTTTGGAACTCACAAAGACTAAATTTTGCAAGTCTAACAACTAGAATCAAGAAAGTAATACCAAGTAAGTCTTCACATTCGTAGAATGAGTTATCGTTTTGTTTATTTATTGGTAATAAAAACAACTAACACATGATTAAGATGTAAGCATTCTTTTTATGTTTTGGTAATTTAATATGAGAATAAATAGTATTTATAATAGCGGGTGTGAAGAAACTTTTGAAATAGATAAATATGGTATTCAAAATAATAAAAAGATTAAGAAAATTAATTTTATCCATGAAGAGCATGCTAAAGATATATATATATATATATATGTGAGTTAAAAAGGATTAGACAAATCAATAAACAATGCTTATTGGTTTTTTTCACTTATAACTTGTACTTATAGTTAAATAAAATATATAGACTTCAATGAAAAAAATTAGGAATAGAAATTTTTTTGGTTGTACCAAACGCATTTCTGTTCTTTTTCTATTCCAGGAATAGAAATTTCGTGCAGTTACCAAACGCATTTCTGTTCTTTTTTTATTCCAGAAATAGAAATTTTGTGCAGTTACCAAACGCGTTATTTTGCTCAAAAACTCATCCAAGAAATAGAAATAGAAAAAACTATTTCTGAAAAGAAATTGTTCCCAGAAGTAGAAACGTTACCAAACACGCCCTTACTAATTGACATTCAGATGAGATGGACGTACATTTCAAGATTAATAGGCAGCAACCTTAAGGAAAACAATAAATAGCTATTTAACGTTTTGCCTGGAGCAATAAGAAGCACAGTGGCCCATAATATTTGGAGGGAGGGATGGAGGGAAATGAAGGGAGGCCAGACAACAAAGGGAAAGTTGACACAACAAAATACCTTGATTAGCATCTGGAAGTCTTCCTTCGTTTGGAGAAACTTTTGAATCCTAAAGGTAGAAAAAAACTTAATGAATAAGGCACTCGTAAGAATTATCTTGCTCACATACAGCTAAATCAGAGTACCTTACTTCCGGGAACAAAGTCGACAGTGGGACCTCCAGTGACTTCTACTGCAACAACTCCTGCTAGCTGAAACAGGCATTTCGCTCATAATGATCAATACTGCAAATTGATAAATCATTTTTAATAGTAACCACTAGCATCGATCAGCTATATATAACATTATCCAACCACTAATCAACCAAGAACAATACCAGTTGAACTAGACAGAGGAGATTTCCTACAAGCAACTGAGAACTAAATGCCCAGGGGATTGAAAACAAGATAGATAAAGATTTGCTCTTAAAGCATATGAATATAGAGAATATGTGGGTTATGCCAATTAAGGGCTTCCATACGTGCATGCACATTAGTTTTAAAGATGTTGCATGCTGGAGGGAAAAAAACTTCAAAGTTAAATGGCAAGAATTTGAAGTCTTTTTCAAACTAAGCTAGTCATATCAACAAAGATTTCGTCCACCTATTGGGGGAGGCGACTCGTAATATGTTAGATGGAAGAACAAATCCTTTAAAGAGTCTTTTCACCTGGTATAGATCTGCGTATGTAATCTTTGGACACTTGGACTTCACCTCCTCTGTATCCAACAGAAAAGCAAATGTAAATATACTGACTGAAGTTATATCTCAACTCCATTCACAAAAAAACTCTATACATCAAAGCTATGACATTATCCATGATGGGTTCGTACAGTTGTATAGTTGAAACTCTTATAATCATAACATATCTACAGGGTAACTCATGTAAAACATATGCAAAGGTCTTAGAATTTCCTTGGTCGAGAATCATGGAAGCATTAGACTGAATACTAAACCACCCATCTTGAGCATGCTCTCATAAACTGAACATAAGATAATACATTTACCTCAACTTTATGAAGACTGTAGGGATTTCTTTAAAGAAAGTATCAATGTCTAAAGCAACAACTATCTTCATGCATTCTATACTGATGAATATTGGAAATATATCTAAATTTGGTTAGATGAACCTAACACTATGCCACAGGCAAGTAACAAAAGTAAATTAGAGTCCGCAGATTAAATCCCGTTGATAAGTCCAGAGTATAACGTTAAGCCAACTAAAATTGCAAACGCACTGCTTGGCCCTTCAAGAACTTGTAAGTACATAGCATCATGTTAACAAACTTGTTAACTGTCTTCGACATAACAGACGACGCGCCCCGCACGAGTGCACTAACCATCGTAAGATGATTAAGTCAACCATTACTCATCAAATGACACAAAACATAAGCAAAAGCAACTCCTCCCACAGCAGCAAATGAAGGAAAGCTATAATTGAAGTATTAGAAGACATACGTCCATGGAAATTGGACTCTCAAATCTCCACGCACCTACATATATTTAGTATCAAACAAGCATGCAACGGGACTCACACAATCACAACCTACAATTGCATGCTCGTCCTCCAAACTGCCGTCGATGCATGAATAGATGAACTCCAGAAACTACTTCAGGCACGGATGCCGAAGAGGCGTAGACACCGCTCCGCCAAAGGAATCAACACCGCGAAGGCAGAGAAACCTAAAGGCAGGTAGCTCAGAAAGAGCAGGGAGCGCTCACCACAGAAATCAAGAGCGATCTTCAAGCCAGCATTGGCGCCATGGGAGTACTCTTCCTTGTTCCGAATCGAGCCGTTCGGACCGGCGGTCTTCATCCTCGCGTCGTAAGTCCCAGCGTCGTGCCACCTGCAAAGACGAATCGCCAAAAACCGCCGGACATCAGAAACCGTGGGGGCTAAATCCGATCGACGGACGTCCGTCGCCGGCCGATTGAGGCCGGGACGGAACCGTAATGCGCGTAATCGGGAGCTCGAGACCCTCGAACCGGGACGAACGCCGCGCCGGCCCTCGAGGGTATTCGGTCGCTGGCAATCTCGCGCAGGGTGTTCCAGCGAGCGAGCGAGAAGGACGGCCGGAATTGCACCTCCGAGGAGAGACGGTGGGAGCCCCCCCGGAACCCTAGCAGAGCGTGAGAACGGCAGAAATGCAGAAATGCTCGCAAGTGGAAGTGAAACAGACGGGAAAGAAAAGACCAAAAAATAATTGTAATCTGTTTTAGGGATTCCGGTTCCGGTTCGGTTCCTAAAGGAACCGGGAACCGGGAACGGGAACCGGAAGCGCCGATTCCTAAAAATGGGGAACTGGGAACCGGACCCTCTCTTCATGGAACCGGGAATCGAATCGAACCCGCCGGTTCGGCTCTGCGGTTCCCGGTTCTATCCGGGAACCGTGCTCACCCCTAGTGTCAACCCATTTTGTAATATTTGCTTTCTGACTTAGTCAATTGGGGCCCACATAAAAAAGAAAAAGAAAAATGAAAAAGAAAAAAAAGACCATTTTGAGATAAAAGAGAGGAGAGAAGACCGACAGCAGTGCACGAAAACAAAGAAAAGAGGGGGGGGGCGGGTTGAGGGGCGCGGGGACAGAAAAGGAAGAAATAGTAAAAAAGAAGAAAGATTTCGCGTACAAGCCACAGTTATCTCATTGAGCCGGATTTATCACGTATCACAACGTCGGATAAGTGCTCGTGCCTTTCGTTCTTCCATTAGGAATATTTTTCGAAACTATGGCTTAACTTTGAAGTTTTGTGAAATTCAAGCCGCAAAATCTGATTTTTGAGTTGTAAAGCTATAGAATTTATGGAAATGATGGATTATGGCTTTGTGGAGCCATGGGTTTGATGGGAGTTGATTTATAGCAACGGTTTGGTCGGAGTGAGATTTTTAGGGTTTCGCATATGGGTTCCATGTTATGTTTATGTTTGAATAATCACTTTAAGTGAGCGATTTGTTATCGTGTAAGAATAGTTTTGGTAGCATTTAAGCTTTGTATAGCCATTTCGTAGTTAGTGTAGTGTTTTACTTGATTTTGACGTCGATTCTTGTTTAATTATTAGGATCACGAGATTGTCGGCTTGTTTAGCTATGCATTGTTTGGTTTTGAGGCATTTCTAGGTGAGTGGTGCCATCTTTTTTTGAGTTTGTAAACTCATATTTTTAAAATGAAAATTATGTGACATATTACGTACAAAGTGTGATTTGGCTAAAAAGAAAAAAAAAGTAATGTATGGCATATTTGATGCACAATTTCGGATCGAGCATTTACTAACCTATTTGTTATTTGAAATGGTTTAAGAATTGTTTATGAAATGAATTACAAAAAGTATTATGGCGGTTAAGTTGAGTTGCGAAAGATTGTATGCTTTGTTTTGTAAATCGATTTCTGATATCGATTATGGATTTGGCTTTGAGAATTGTCAATGATGTTGTTGTGGATTGGTGTTAATGCTTAGGGTGCGCATGAATAACATTCTGTGCCCGGGCGCTATTTCTGAACAGAAATGATTTTTTTTGATTCTGTGCCTAGAAACAATTTCTGAGTATTTGAAGGCGTTTGATAAACTGTCCAAAATTTCTATTCCTAGAGTAAAAAAGAACATAAATGCGTTTGGTAACTACACAAAATTTCTGTTCCTAAATAATATTTTAATAATATTTTGAATTGTTTAATTTTTTTTTCTTTCTACTTTCTTCTTTGGCCATGGCCGGTCGCCGGCGGCCGGCCCAGCCAAGGGAAGAACAACACAAAAATAAGAAAAGAAAAAAAAGAAAAAAAAAAAAAAAACTGATTCTCAAAATTGTGCCGAGAAACAAGAAGCAACTTTTTTTTACTTCTTGTTTCTCTTCTAAAACTGTTTCTCGGCACAAATTTTTGCAAAAATGTGCCAAGGAACAAAAATTTACCAAACGCATTTCTGTTCCCAAACTATTTCTGGGAACAAAAGAACAGAAATTTTCACTATTTGGCACGTTACCAAACGGGGCCTTAGTATCATTGTGAGCCTATTAAGGGTCTTTTGGGTATGCATACTAGTACAAGATATTCTTGTGAGCCGAGCCACCGACAATATAGGTGAAGACTTAGCCAAAGGGGAATCTATTATGCGTGATCATGGTTGGATATTTGACCATGAGATAATTAACCATTGACGTGTGATTTTGATGAGATTGATTAATGGACTGAACCATTGATATTTGTTTTGATGTTATTGTGAAACGGATAATTTCTAAAATATATATAGCTATGTTGAAGCGTTTGTTATATCCTAAAATTTGGTGTAATGAGTTATGTTTTTTGTGTCTTAAACATGTATAGTGACTGTTCGATCTGCTTAGAAGATAAACGCGCTACTTACTGAGCTGTGGTTGTTTATCCCTCTCATTCCCAATCTTTTCAGGTTTCTCGGATAGTGGTCAATAGAGCGAAAGCAATATTGACATGGACTTTTGGGAGTTGGTTTTTGGGTGTGGTTTGAGATAGCGTCCTTCATGTCGAAGGATCTAGGGGTGTCAGAATCGAACAGGAAAACCGAACCGAAATTTTGTATATTCGGTTTGGTTCAATTTTCAATTCGGATAATCGAAAAATTGCCTTTCTTTTTGCTGATGGTTATTTCAATTTGGTTCAATTCAATTAACCGAATCGGCTTTTAACTCTAAAATTAAAAAAAAAAAGCATAACCCTCATCTGAACAACCCAAAGTTAAAACCCTCCTGTAGATCTTGGATCGGGTAGGGGTGAAAGTAGAGTATCTTTGAAAGTTGAAGGTCAAGAACAGAGTTACGGGCATGAAAAATCCCCTTCGATGTTACCAAGACGAAAGGGATGTGTAGGAGTAGATTTTATGTGGCAAAATGCATGAAGTCACAAGTGGCAAATCTTCACTTATTCTACGGCCAAGTGTGAGAAGTTAAGACATATTAGAGATGACTAATAGCCAAGGGTAATGATGGGTTATGATTATGTGTCAAATTAGTGCAAGAGCCAAGCTTAAGAATGGCATGTGGCCATGCATTTTGTCTCCAAATTTGGCATGTGGCCATCCATGAAGTCTTCAAATGCCACGAGAGTGTTTTGTGTCTTAAGAGAGATTTTGTGAGAAATTAAAAATAAAAACAGAATTGCTTCCCTTTATAACACCATATTATTAATCACTAATTAACTAAAATTTAAATTAATAATATTACCCATCAATTATTAAGACAACGGCGAATTAATTAACACCGTTATAATATTCACGTATTTTAATTTGCAACACGTCGAACTTGGATGATTTTGTTCACGAAAATCTTCCTTCGCGCCTCATAAAATTTACGATCCAACTAAGATTTCTACGTGTCCACCCGAATTTTAAACTAATAATACTTAGCTTTATGATCTAAGTATTATTACTGGAAACGTAAATTTTCCGAATATCACATAAATACTATTTCCAAAATTCCGGACGTCACACCCTTCATTTGGAATTTTTCTAAAAATGAATAAACGAAAAATATTATCATCATCTACGAGAATGTTTAAATATAAATTATTGTCAATAATAATAAAAATTCATTGACCAATTATTTCAAGTTAAACAATCGGTCATTTTAGAAAAATATTTTTCAAATCATTTATTTTTTGCAAAATAAACGGAACCTAAAGAGAAAATCCAAAAAAGCCAGCAAAGCCAAAGTACGGACCTTGATTAATCTCATGCGGAAGGCATTTAGCTTTCCCTTTTTACAGCAAACAAGGGCAAATACAAAATGCTAAACTCCGGACACTTGGCTTCAAGTTTTGTTCTTGGTCGCTGGCTTCAAGTTATTAGTTATGGATTTACACAAATGTGACTTGATAATATGATGTTCAGATTGTCTAAAATGAAAACACTTATTTCAGTTAAATACAAAAAGTACAACGGCATTTGTTCAAGAATCTTCATAATTACAAGGGAGAATCAATGGATAAAGGTAGAGCACAATGAATGTTGTGGAGATATTAGTTTCACTTAGGAAGAACCATCACTCCCACCGGCCATCCCGCACCCTTGCCGCCCTGGGTGCGGCAGTGGTAGCAAGGGCTGCAACCCTTACTGTTTGGTTTCTTCCTTTTTATTTTATTTTTAATTTAGTTTATTTTTAAAATTTATATAAATAAAATTTGTATTAAATATCATATTTGGACCTAAATGATGTTGTTTTAGGGGTTAATGCCACCAAAAACTCCAAACTGGTGCACTTGTGACAAATTTATCCAAAACTAATTTTTTGACCACTAAAAATCCTAAACTAGTACACCTGTGACAAATTTACCTTCGGTTAGTTTCCATTAAATTTTTTCGTCAAATTGCTAAATTGGATGACACGTAGCAGTTGACAAGTGTACCTAAATTTACCTTCGGTTATTTTAAAGCATGTGTCACATAGTTGACTTATGATGATCATATTGTAATTAAGATCTTTTACCAATGAAACATCATTGATAGTAAGTCCTCCAATTTTAACAGTTCCTTTTCCAACAATTTTTACTTTGTTATTTCCTCCAAAGGAAACACTTCCACCATTTAGACTTTGAAATTTGATAAACATGCTTGGATCTCCTGTCATATGTCTTGAACAACCACTGTCCAAGTACCGTTTCCTTTTTCTTTTGCTGGTAACCTGCAAAAATCATATACATTCAAGCTTTCTTTGGTACCCAGTTTTGTTTGGGTCCTTGAGAGTTAGTAGTATAGGCTGTTTTTACAAACTTTCTCCGAATTGGTCTCCAAATCTTAAGACAATCCTTCTCAAAGTGCTGTGGATCTCCACATTTTGAGCAATTAAGTGCATTTCAGCCAATAGGTTTTAC